TAGGATGGGCTGGTTGGATCTCCTTGCAGTCCAAGGGACTCTCAAGAGTCTTCTCCAACACCACGCTTCAAAAGCGTCAATTCTTTGGCGCTCAGCTTTCTTTATAGTCAAACTCTCACATCCATACATGACTACTGGAAAAACCACAGCCTTGACTAGACGGACCTTTGTTGGCAAAGTAATATCTCTGCTTTTTAATATGCTGTCTAGGTTGGTCATAACTTTCCTTCTAAGGAGTAAGCGTCTCTTAAGTTCATGGCTACAGTCACCATCTGCAGTGATTTTGGAGTCCAACAGAATTAAGTCAGCCACTGTTTCCCCATCTATTTGCCATGAAGTGATGGGACCAGATGCCATGATCTTAAGTTTTTTGAATGTGCTTTAAGCCAACTTTTTCACTCTGCTCTTTCACTTTCATCAAGAGGCTCTTTAGTTCTTCACTTTCTGCCCTAAGAGTGGTGTCATCTGTATATCTGAGGTTATTGATATTTCTCCCAGAAATCTTGATTCCAGTCTGTGCTTCTTCCAGCCCAGCATTTCTCATGATGTACTCTGCATATAAGTTAAATAAGCAGGGTGACAATATACAGCCTTGATGTATTCCTTTTCCTATTCGGAACCAGTCTGTTGTTCCATGTCCAGTTCTAAATGTTGCTTCCTGACCTGCATATAGGTTTCTCAAGAGGCAGGTCAGGTGGTCTGGTATTCCCATCTCTTTCAGAATTTTCCACAGTTTATTGTGATCCACACATTCAAAGCTTTGGCATAGTCAGTAAAACAGAAATAGATGTTTTCCTGGAACTCTCTTGCTTTTTCAATGATTCAGCGGATGTTGGAATTTTATCTCTGGTTCCTCTGTCTTTTCTAAAACCAGCTTGAACATCTGCAAATTCACAGTTCACATATTGCTGAAGCCTGGCTTGGAGAATTTTACCTTAATGAGGGGTATTAGAATGGCAACTGGTTGACCAAAAAAAACAGAAAATTCATGAATAGGATGAAGGGTTTGGAGAGACAACCTTATCTAAGAGCCTTACAGATTCAAAGGTTCTAATGACAGAACCTCAATAAGGAGGAAAGCACTTGTAACCTTTTCCCCTTAGATTCCATGCAAGTATTAAACAGAGAAACTATGTTAATTTGACTCTAAACAACAAACTGTGGAAAATTCTTAAAGAGAAGGTAATACCAGACCACCTGACTTGCCTCCTGAGAAATCTGTATGCAGGTCAAGAGGCAAAAGTTAGAACTGGACATGGAACAATAGACTGGTTCCAAATCAGGAAAGGAGTATGTCAAGGCTGTATATTGTCACCCTGCTTGTTTAACTTATATGGAGAGTATATCATGAGAAATGCTGGACTGGATGAAGCACAAGCTGGAATCAAGATTGCTGTGAGAAATATCAATAACCTCAGATATGCAGATGACACCACCCTTATGGCACAAAGTGCAGAAGAACTAAAGAGCCTCTTGATGAAAGTGAAAGAGGAGAGTGAAAAAGTTGGCCTAAAACTCAGTGTTCAAAAAACTAAGATCATGGCATCCAGTTCCATCACTTCATGGCAAACAGATGGGGAAACAATAGAAACAGTGACAGACTTTATTTTCTTGGGCTCCAAAATTACTGCAGATGGTGAGTGCAGCCATGAAATTAAAAGACGCTTGCTCCCTGGAAGAAAAACTATGACCAACCAAGACAGCATATTAAAAAGCAGAGAAATTACTTTGCCTACAAAGGTCCATCTAGTCAAGGCTATGGTTTTTCCAGTAGTCATGTATGGATGTGAGAGTTTGACTATAAAGAAAGCTGAGTGCTGAAGAATTGACGCTTTTGAAGCGTGGTGTTGGAGAAGACTCTTGAGAGTCCCTTGGACTGCAAGGAGATCCAACCAGCCCATCCTAAGGGAGATCAGTCCTGAGTGTTCATTGGAAGGACTGATGTTGAAGCTGAAACTCCAATACTTTAGCCACCTGATGCAAAGAACTGACTCATTGGAAAATACCCCAATGCTGGGAAAGATTGAAGGCAAGGGGAGAAGTGGACGACAGAGGATGAGATGGTTGGATGGCATCACCGACTCAATGGACATGAGTTTGAGTAAGCTCCAGGAGCTGGTGATGGACAGGGAAGCCTGGTGTGCTGCAGTCCGTGGGGTCGCAAAAAGTTGGACATGACTGAGGCACTGAACTGAACTGAAGGCCAAATATCAAAATTTTGAGGGTGGAAGGAAAAAAAGTCATAGGAAGTTTCTGTTTTCCCTGGTGGTTGTGAGTTTTGTGTATAAAGATTTGAGTAGTAGTGTTTGTTTGTTTTTTCCAAAGCAGAATTTTTTTCTATTTTAAGATTCTCTAAAGGCCTGGTTTTCTTTCTTTCTCATCAAACTTATGGTCCTCTTAATAGTTTTCAGAATACTACATTTTTAAAAGATTGCTCTTAATCCAAAATTATAAAGTAGCATTTCAGCGAATAGCAAAGAAACAGACTTGTGGAACAATAGGTGTTTAAAGCTCATTAATCATTAATAATGAGGCAGTGTCCTGTAAGGTGTGTGCATTGCGATAGTTTGACTCTTCCCCACAGTTGGTTATGTAAGTAGGCTAGAATGATCATTCCTACTTTACCACTGCACAGAGTGTTGGAGCAGTCTGCCTACCATGATGGTGGATGGAGCAAGTGCTAAAATCCCAAACTTTTGACTTCTAGTGTTCTAATACTGTTTTTAATACTAAAAACTGTTACTGTCCTTTCCTAACAGTAGGTCTAGAGACTTACTTAAATGCAGAATATATTTTTTCTCTTAACTACGGTGGTTCTGGGTAGGAAGGCAGATAACTTTGGCCAGAGTTGGTCTTTAAGTTTAATGTTTCTAGTTGATTTTCTGTCCTAAAGAAAGTCTGCAGCAAACATCACTATTGATGTCTGAGGATATTAGAACTTCTTGAAAAGAGAGATGCTAATGCTTATTTCAACTAAAAATCCTATGGGTATGGACAAAACAGTTCTTGTAAAACAGGATAAATTTGACTGGGTGGTGCAGCAAAGTGCTTAGGAACTAAGGTTCAATGAGAGAAATCTGGGTTTTAAGTCTTTGTTCTGCCACCTACTGGCTGTGACATTATTGACATCTTGAGGAGCGTCAGAGTGCTTATCTGTAAAATGGAATAATAATAGGACCTATCGTTTTGGCTTCCCAGGTGGTTCTAATGGTAAACAACCTGCCTGCCCATGCAGGAGATGTGGGTTTGATCTCTGGGTCGGGAAGATCCCCTGGAGGAGGGAATGGAAATGGAAACCCACTGCAGTATCCTTGCCTGGAGAATCCCACAGACAGAGAAACCTGGCGGTCTGCAGTCCATAGGTTCGCGAAGAGTTGGACATGACAGAAGCGACTTAGCACACACGCATCTTTTTGGCTGTTAGGAGAATCAGATAAAATAATCTATGTAGAGACTTCCCTGGTGGCCCAGTGGTTGGGAGTCCACCAGCCGATGCAGGGGACACGGGCTCAAGTCCTGGTCCAGGAAGATCCCACATGCCTCTGGACGACTAAGCTCCTGCGCCACAACTACTGAGCCCAAGCTCTGGAGCCCCCACACCGCAACTACTGAAGCCGGTGCCTACCGTCCACGCGCCACAAGAGAGCCACCGTAATGAGAACGCCCACGCACCTCAAAGACCCATCACAGCCAAAAAAATAACTATTGTTTTAAAAATTAAACACAGTGGAAAAATGCAGAAATGGTCACAAATAAGGAAGAAGAAGAATCCGCCTTGTAAAGCAGGGGACACTGGAATTAAGATCTCACATGCTACATGCCCAGGGCAACTGAGTCCAAGTGCTCTGGACGCCCTGCACCACAGCAAGAGCCCGAGTGCCACAACTAAGATCAATACAGCCACATATTTGTTTTTTTTAAAAGATAAAGTGTGTAAAAGCATGAACACTGTGCTGCTTTTGAAAAAACACGTTTATTGTGAGTTATTATCCATTGTCTTTTACTCATTTTCCTACTGGAGCATTACTGCGTGTTTCTTATTTACTTCCATTCTTCAGTTTATGCTCAGGTTAGTAGGTGCTGAATGAATCCCAGTCAGTAGTACCAGGGTGGATCCATAATCAGTCAACAGACCAAGCGCCTCCTGCTTACCCGGTCCAAAGCTGATCTCCAAGAATACTAAGCTTCAGGAGACTAGACTCTTGCTGGGAGACAGTAATCCATAGGTTGTCGTAGAGGTGCTCCAGAAAGGTGCGGAGATGTCTGAGTGTTGAGTGAGTCACAGGAAACCAGGCCGAGAAAGATGGGAGGGGACTTTGTGGAGAGGACACTGCTCAATGAACGAACAGCAAATTGCCTGTGTGCATTGCAAACCTGCATCAGAGTTTTAATACTTGCTTGACTAGTCAGGTAACCTCTCAGAACCTCAGTTTATCTAAAAAGATGTAACATATCTATGTGTATATATCTATGTATACGTCCACATACATATGTATATGTCCACATACATATCTATGTATACGTATCTAGTATATGTCTACCCACTAGATTCAATGAAGTAATATTTGTAACTACTTCCTTGGCACTTCACCTGTCACAGAGTAAGTGTTCAATAAATGTTAGCCACTGTTACCACAATGTTCTAACAATTTTGTAATACCTTATCATTACGAACGGTGTCATTCCAAGAATAATTGTTTCCCTAGTCGTTGGACTGCGAAGAAAGGTTTCAGGATACACTGCTTCAGGCTTGACGAGCTTTAAAGCAAGGAGGCTAGAGCGGGCTTGACAGTTTCAGTCAAGTGCCTGCGCGACGTCGCCAAGATCGGGGGGCGGGACCAGCCGACGCGCGCAGAGCCGGACTCCCAGGGTCACGTGTGCCGCGGCCCCTCCCCGGCCGGGCCCGTCCCCCGCGGCTGCGACAGCTGCGGCTGCGCCTGCGCGGAGTCTGCGGCGCGGTCCTCCGAGGAGGCGGCGCGAACGGCCGGGGGGGGCGGCGGATGGCTCTGCGGGGCCTGGCAGGCTCGGGGCCCGGCTCCCGAGGGCCGTTGGACGAGGCGGTGGCGGCGGACAAGGAGCGCGAGGCGCCGGCAGTGGTGGTGGCGGGAGCCACGCCTGAGGACGATGAAGAGGACGAGGGCCGCAGCCGGGGCCTGCTGCGCTGGGACGGCTTCTCAGCCTGGCTGCACTGCGTGTGTGTGGTGGGCTTCGACCTGGAGCTGGGCCAAGCCGTGGAGGTGAGGCCCGGCCGCACCTTGTCCTCGCGCCGGGGCGGCTCCGGCAGAGCGTGTGACCTGCCGGCCGGCCTGGACCCTGGCGGCTGCGCATCCGGGCGTGGCCGGCGGCCCCTCCGCTGTCAGCCGGGCTGCGGTCCAGAGGCAGTTCCCGTGGGAGGCTCGTGAGCTGTGGCTAAGGGTGAAAAGTTCTCTGTAGGCCCCTCCTAAATACTTGCTGATGGTCGTATTTTCATTTTCTTTTAACCCGGTGTCACAGGAGTAACTAGAATGGTTAGCGGCTCCCGGAGAAGACCGCAGGCAGGATATTTGGGACTTTTTCAAGAAGCGAACACTGTCCCTGACATATGGTGAATTATAATAGAAGAGCCAAACCTCAAACAACCAACTTTTTTTTTTTTTTTAGACTCAGATTGTTTTGGTCATTTGCAGCGACTCTTAAAGCACTCCACTCAGCCTAAGCCATTATGCTTATCTCAGCAGAGGTTTTCGCCTTTTCCTGCCTTTGTTCCTCATTTCTGTTACTTCTTGATGTTGCTTCTGAAACGGCCTGAAAGCTACCATCAAGACGAACAGAAGGAAAATCGTTCGTTTGTGAATTTGTCGAGTTTTCCATCTTTCTTGCGCCTTGTTAAAAGGCATTGTAATCCTAACTACTCTTGACATTATTTAGGGCCCCTTGTGTAGCATAAGGGATTACTTGTTTTTGTGCATCCAAGGAAAGAACGACCGATGCTTAGAAGATATCTTTGTTTGGGTGGCAATGAAAGATTTTAATGAATCATCTCATTCTGACTTCAGTGGCATGTGTTGTCTATGAAAATTGTCCCGGGATGTATTTCTTAATGTGGAGTGTGTAGTCAGCCTGTCTTGTCTGTATTTTATGCAGCTTGATACACGTTGTGTGCTTGTGTTTCATTGCTCAGCTGTGTCTCTCACTGTGCCAACCTTTAGACTGTAGCTCGCCAGGCTCCTCTGGCCATAGGGTTTTTTACGCAAGAATACTGGAGTGGTTGCCATTTCCATCTGCAGGGGAATCTCCTGACTCAGGGCTCGAACCCACGTCTCCTGTGTCTCCTGCGTTGGAGGCAGATTCTTTACCTGCTCAGGCATTGTAAGATCCTGGTTTCTGGGCATACATGAAGAATATACTCTAGCCTATATTTGTAGATTGAGACTACAATTTAGAAGAGAATCAAGAATTAATCACACTAGAGGATAGGGCTAAATGCAGTGCTTGGCACATGACACACTTCACTAAAAAAGTGATAGTACATAAACAGCACTTTAAGATGAAAACAACAGTTCCCAAGGCTATAAAGAAGAGATTTATAAATCATCTATCATTTACATTGACATATTAACCTGAAGCTATATATGTAGTAGAATACAATTTTGCTAGAAAACATGCTGTAGTAGATTACATTTTTAAATAGTTAAAAGAAATCTATTTAGACTCACCATTTGGGCATTCTTTATAACACTTCTGTGTTTTTTCTGACCAAATAAATGATACTTAGCAAGTATTGAGGTACTCAAAAAATGTGAATCACTGAGACTGTTTAGGCTATTTTGAATTTCATTTCCTATTTCTTTACCCTGAATGGTGGTTCAGAGGGTAAAGCATCTGCCTGCAATGCGGGAGACCCAGGTTTGATCCCTGGGTCAGGAAGATCCCCTGGAGGAGGAAATGGCAACCCACTCCAGTACTCCTCCCTGGAAAATCCCATGAACAGAGAAGCCTGGTGCAGGCTACAGTCCATGGGTTGCAAAGAGTCGGACACGACTGATTGACTTCACTTTCACTTTTCCTATTTCTTTAGGTCTGTGGTCTTCATTTATTTTTTTCTGAAGATCCAAGGTGCAAATAAGTCACAAACTTCATGAGCTCTCACCATTAGGAAAATACTAATACAAAATCTTGTATATGCTTCTACTAACTGGGGAGCCTTTATGAACCTCCTGATCCTTTGTCCTCAGATTAGAAATCACTGATTTTAGAAAGTGTAGGGTGAGGGTGGGGAAGTTTCCCTAATAAAGGATTCCAAGAAAAATACATTAAGAGGCAACACAATTTAATTTTGTTTTCTTTTCCTGAAAAGTGTAGAATATTGCCACTTTTAATATGAAGAAAAGTATAAATTAACACTATAACAAAATAGTTGAAATATATATTTCACTTTTGTATTATGGCCATGCATGCATGCTAAATTGCTTCAGTTGGTGTCCAACTCTTTGCAACCATATGGACTGTAGCTTGCCAGGCTCATCTGTCTGGGATTCTCCAGGCATGAATACTGGAGCGATTTCTGTGCCCTCCTCCAGGGGATCTTCCCGACCCAGGGATCAAACCTGTGTCTCTTAATGCCTCCTGCATTGGCAGGCAGGTTCTTTACTACTATCGCCACTTGGGAAGCCCCATTACCACCGTATCAAGGCCAGAAATGGATAGGAGGGGTGGCTGTAATGGGGCAAAAAAGATAAGTATAGAATTGTGTTGGGTAAATGGATTAATAGCTCCAGCCCTACTTCCTATAATGCACAACTATAGGGATTCAGAAGGGAAGTTAATTGAAAAATAGCTTAAAAACTAAGTTTGGACAGTATATCCTCCACTTCAGTCCTATTATCAGAAATGCAGTTACTGAGTCTTTAGCTTGAGAGAGACTTAACAAGTCTGTGCTGCCATGACAGAAGTTACCACTTGCAAATTTTAAACAAATGCATAAACAATGCCACTTACTTAAGCTTAAATCCCTGCTTAAGTAGAATATTGATCAAGAACTTAGATTCTAAAGCTGGACTACCTAGGCTTGAATCTGTGTGACTTAGGGCATGTTACTTAGCTTTCCTGAGCCTTACACTCCTCTGTGACAGGTTAACAGTGCCTGTATCATGGCATTGTTGTGAGGGTTAAATAAGTTAATGTTGATGAAGCATTTGAAACAGTACCTTGGATTCAATATGATCTATGTAAGTCTTTGGGAAGCACTGAAAATCTCTTTTTCAATGAAGAAAAGCCCTACGTTTAGCTTTGTGGAGATGAGGCCTTTAAACCTTAGTTTTCTCACCAGAAAAATGAAGTTGAAGTACTAGAATCGGTTTTGTTTTGTTTTAAATTGGGGAACTTTCTCTGTGTAAAAGAAAAAAATCAGATGTACCTTAGTGGCTAATCTGGTTGATATGGGGCCTGTGTGTATATATTCGGTTTTGGACAACAGAAACTAAGCTATGGCTTAGGGGAAAAAAAGGCACACTTGCTAAGGCCACAGAGATACTTCAAGTTGTCCAAGGTACAAACCTAAAGGGACTTAGAGAAAATGGCTAAAATCCAAAACCAGAAAAGCCTCCTCTTTATGCTCTTGTTTCATGGATTTTGTTCACGCTTTATGCTCCATTGCGAACTGACTTCTCTGCTTCTGTGATCTTTATGGCTAAGTTGCCCTTTTCAGCCACTTCAATGAAGAGAGTAAATGTCATTCCCATTCCAAACACCAGCGGAAGATACTCAGGCCTGGTTTGGGGCAGATTCTCACTGTGCTACAATCAGCTGAAGACCTAAGTGGTTAGAGTAGTGGTCTGTGTTGTGTAAAATGTCCCCTGGCAACCCTGACCTAGAAAGGAACAGTGAAGGAGCTCTTTCGAGCTGGGAAGAGACGGCAAAAGGTGTTGACTACAGGAGGTGTGCTCAGCTTCTTTCTCTTCCCCAGAGGTGGCCCTAGCATCACCACTGTGACACCATGGGTCCTGTGAAACAAGGTTTGAAATCTTCTTGGTTTTATATACTCTATGTCACTTCCAGCTCTGTGAAATTACCTGATTATATGGTAAAGCCTTCATTATCTGAATTTAGAATTGCCTCATTTATTCCATGTTTTTTTTTTCCCCTGATTGAGTAATAATATGCTCATTGTTGAAAATCTGACAAGAAAGGAAATTATAAATACTGGAAAGCATCACTCATAACTATACTAAGAGATTGATATTTGGCATTTTTGTTAATGCTTTTTTTTCTGTACATAATTTTGTATCTGTCAAGGACAAATTTGAATATTAAGAGCAGCAATCCTCTCAAATTTAAGTATAGAGAAATTGATTGTAAGGAGTCTTTTGGAACCCAGTTGCAGGAAGCAGGGTTGAACCTCATGGGATTTGGAAAGCCCCAGGCTTTTGCTTTTGTCTGTGTGGAGCTGTGTGGTCTTTGGTCTCTGCTTCTCTTTGCCTGTCTGTTCCATTCTTTGTGCTGAGGCTGGTTTCCTCTGCTAGGGTCTCAATTTCTGCTCCCCCATTTCACCTCACTTTGGGTTACCATCGTACTGATTTTAGCCAAGCTTCTACTTTTGTATTCTGGAACCAGGCAGAAGCTCAGTTCAAATACTAGAGTATCTGATTGGTTCAGCATGGGTCAGGTGCTCCCTTTTGTTTAGTCAGCTGTGGTAAGGAGACAGGTTTCAGTAGTGGCCACTGAGGTTCTCCCCAGCAAAGGGAAGGGACACTTTAAAGCATGGTCTGGGCAGCAATCTCCCAAACAGGTCTGCTTTAAGAGTTTCCGTTTATTGGTAAGGATTCTAATAAACAATTGCCATAGCATTAAAGATTCTTCATAAATATAATTTTATGGACCACCACTTATTTAACCATTTTCCCTAATTTAGATATTTAGTAATTTCTTTTTTTCTTCACATTGTGAAGAGTTGTTTGCCACCTGTACACTCTTCCTTAGAGATAGTCTTCATTTTTGAGAGCCTTTAAATCCCTGGGTTAGGAAGATCCTCTTGAGAAGGGAACAGCAACCCACTCCAATATTCTTGTCTGGAAAATCCCATGGACAGAGGAGCCTGGTGGGCTGTAGTTCATGGGGTCACAAAGAGTCGGACACGACTGAACAACTGAGCCCACATGCACACTCACATGCAACTCATGTGAACTCACAGAACATGTAGAACATCATAGGAGGTCACCTCTTGAACCCTTCCAGCCTGTGATTTTATAAGAGTTGAGAA